AATGGCAATTAGCATAGTCTAAGAGATATAGACTTATTCCATATATAAGTTATTTTTCAGATATTTCCACAAAATAATAAAATAACAATTTTGTTTTTACTTACAATAGGACTCCATATAAGCATCGAATTTTTATAGAACTGCTTTTAAATGACTTAGAAATTCGTGTACGTCGAAAAGATATTTTTTCAATCAAGTCACGAAGTTCCATTTTGAAATTAGTCGTATCCTAGATAAAAAGTGTCTTCGAGCACGTAAAGTGTTTGTTTGGTACCCTGCCATTCTTCTACCTATATTCATATTATATATTCCATAGCGCGTCTTCATGTGGCAGCTTTGCACTTGTCAAAAACGTTCCAGATCCCTTGTGAATTGCAGTGACAGAAATTACAAGATACTAAAATACAAGAAACACTCTTAACAAACTTGGCAATCTGTTGAGGGAAAAACCGAGTAAGTCAATTTCATTCACGCTTAACATCACGAAATCAGCTTGTGGATAATTGCGCTATTAATATAGCGTATATATATATATATATATATATATATATATATATATATATATATATATATATATATATATATGTACTACAAAACCAGGAAGAAAACCGAAATATCGGTGTTTTTTATGTAATACTCTTTATTGATTGTAGTGTACGAATTATTTCAATATTAGTACATCGGTAATTAAAAGCTGTCTCGCTCTTTACGTAAAAACGGTCGCTGGTCTCCCCAATTCAAAGTCATCTTGAAGACAGGCCTGGCATTAGAGTGGTTTATGTAACTAGCTTCTAATGTTAAGTTTCATTGCACGAGTATATGATTTAAAGACGAGCAACTTTAGAAACGAGTTTTCAAATTTGTACGAATGCAATAAATAACATATGCAATAATATAAACTAGTTGCATACTCTCTATAATTGTATAAAAGTATTATATATTTACAAAAGAACCAAAGTTAATTTTGGGTAATAACTTCATTGTTCACGGGTAATTGACATGCGAAAAAACGGTGATTGGTTGTTTCGTTTACCTCCCCACGATTCCCTCACTTGCTTTTTGATTGCTGCGAGGGTTGAAAAATAAGGAATCTTCGGAGGAAAAGATCAATAATTTTCAGGCATGATTTTTTAAACACGATTCAATTCTTATAGTAAGGAAATAATTGGTATTTAAGTCTGGAATCTTACAACTTCTCATTTGTTTGGAGATCTTATATGTAAGACGAAATGAAACTCTTTAGTAGTTGTAGTTACAGTATACTTTATACGTCGGTAAGGTTAAGAAATAAAATTAGAATGTCCAAGTATGGAGTGAAATGTAATTAACTTTTCTGAAAATTGCCGTCATTTCTAAAGCTAATAGATATACATTCATAGCCAGACTTTCAAGTTGAACGCTCACTGAAGTAGAATTTCATATTTTATGTTTTATGGCACATTTAACTCAATTCATAATATTCAGAGGTATGAAAATACCGAAATAATATGGGACAACTAATAAGAAATGTCATGAATTTACATATCGCATGACATTTGAACACAATGCTTTCATAAGCTGACTCAAAACTAATTTTCCATTTCTCCAGGATAGAAAAGAAAGTGACTGAAATTAAATTGGGTGAAGTTCTATCACACATTGAGTCTTGATAATCAAATAAAAACTGAATACAGAGACATCTACTTTCTAAAACAAATATCCCAAGATGAAAACATAATAAGAGGTTTACGTCGTTTGCAATATCACAGTTAAAAGGAATGTCTTTCATATATAAATATAACATTAAATATAAGCCCATGAAATCGTGCGCTTCCAATACGCGATAGAAAGTTTTTGAAAATATCCTATTACACAAATGTTCCTCTGCTCGTTGAAAACTTGAGCTTTGAAATGCGTATATATAAATGATCATACCCAATAAAGCATCATCTACGTGTCCTTTTTTTTACAGATACTAGTAGCATATTTTATGCCATGGTAAATATTTGAAATGAATTTAATAATAGAGTCATTGTTTATTCAACATTTTGTCTCTGTTGCATACTGTTACGCAGTTGAAAATATGCTCAATTGTTTTAATATTAACCAATCGTAATCTACATGTAAACATTCTTATTTGTATTTTCATAGTATTTCAAATCATCACATTATTGCATATTACTTACAATCGTATAATTATTAGTTAATACAAATATTCATATATTACTGTGTTGTATGTAATCGTGAATTAAAGAAACTTAAAAGCAAAAAGCAATTCCTATACAGTTATTCCGTAAAACTCCGGAGTGTGCAATGCCGTCACTCACCGTTAGTGATTACATATCCTGGTACATGAAAATTCAGTCTTGAGTTATGTCGGGCTATTTTCTTAATTATTTCACAAATCAACAATTTCATTTATATATATATATATATATATACTAACGCTGCGTCAATTTTTTAAAATGCAAGCACCACGGCAGGGCAAGTATAAAGGCAGCACAAAATTCACGGCTAGTTTCGAAAATCATGTAAATGGCATGCCAATGCCAATGCACACAGTATTCCCGAATGCACATTAAGACAACAATTTGACTTTCATTACCCAAACTTCAGCTAAACGATCCGCCGTCACGAATTCCAAACGTAAACCACACGAGGACAAATTAGCTCGCGACATCAGAACACGTTACCGCGTTTCAAACCGCACAAATACCACATGTACGCAGACTTCTAGTCGTGTGACAGGCATTATCGAACCTGAACTCAACATCACCGAAACGGTTTCGTAATTCAACACTAAACTCGGAAAACCGCGGACCAATGTGACAGGAGATTCTACTATTGTAATCCAAACCACTGAGCAGTAATTTACATTAGCGAGGGTAGGTCTAGTTTAGCGTCATTTGCGAACAAGACGCCATCGTATCGCAACCTTTGACAACCGAACCTCCCAAACGCTACAATACTCCAAAAGCTGAATAATTCAACAGGGGCGATTCCGTGTTTTCACACACGGTTTCAAACATTGATGGTGATACAGTGAAGAATTCGAATTAAAAATATTTTCGTAAGCCAAACTCGGAACTGAGAACACCGAAAAGTTACGAAACATTTACTTTCCGAACGCGAAGGAAACAATATAAACAATTTCGTTTGATTCACTCAAACAAATAAAAGCATCAATTCCATCACTGAAAGATCAAATAGTAGTTAAAATAAAAGTATGTACCAAAGTAATGTTTCTTCACCGGGTCAAATAATTCATTAATTCATGTCATTACACATCGTAAATTTACTTATGATTTTATCTCTAATCGTTGCGAAAACGTATTGTTGAAAGCCCGAAGATGATTGAAAAAAATAGGTTGAACTCTCGACGATATATATGTGTGATAGAATTCGAAACTGAACAAAATTTTTCGCAGCGAGCTCAATGTTAGACACCGTGTTCGAAAAGCACGAGGGAAAATATTACGAATAAAACAACAATATCAAACTGGTATCAATAAACACAAATCGCAAGTCATGTCATAAAACGTAACTCGGTCATATGAGGTCCTAACAAAGTAAATGACTTCGAATCCTAAAGTTCATTGAAACGTGCGCATTTCCATGATTTAGCACACAGTGAGTAATAAACCAAGATGTGAAATTTAGTCAGGAAAAGTTACGGACGTTAAATGTACGACGAAAGGGTCCGGCGTCGACACAACTTTGCACTCAGCGAATGGTGACGGGACCAACAGCAATCACAATGATATAGAGTTAGCTGCAAGGAAAAGTGCCACCCGAGAGTTACAAATGACAGAAGACAACGATATCTGAATGTCACCTGTCACCACAAATATTTTACGTCCCTCACAATATGAATATATTTGCACATACGCGCATACAAACATACGTACACACACACTTGTAGCCCATGATATTATGAATCGTTATTTTTAAAACAATACCATGAATACAGATAAAATAACAATTTACGTGACAAATAAAAGTTATCAATTTTTTTCTTTCGCTTTGTCAGCTGTCCCACTTTAGAATAAAATATTTGATCTACAATTTCATTAATATTACTATCACTTTTCAGTTTCGTCGCAATGAATAATTTGTTAACTTAAATTCCGCATTCGTTTATTTAAAGTCCATCACTGTGAAGTCTGAGTTCCAACGTGACACGTTGGATGTGACAACGTGACTGCCATCATTAAAATTATGGTAAAGGTACGTTAGTCTTCATCTTCACAAAAACAAATGTTCACCGAAACAATTTCCTTTCATGCATGAAAATCACGAGACACGCGTAGATCGGCAACTTAGCAAAGACTTTTAACTTATATACTAAATATTTGGCTTTACTTAACATTATTCCTCAAAGTTCTTCCAGAGTGGGTAAATACAACATGTTTAAGTTTTCAAATTATAATTTAATGGAAATAGATTGAAAAACGGAATGTCAACACCTAATTAAATTCACAGATTTTGCATTTATTGCGAACATCAGCAAAATCTCGGTAAGTCAATCTTAGAACATGTTAAAAATAGGAAAGATCGTCACGTTCCACGCAATTTGTCGCAATTTGAAAGTTGCGTACAACCTAGTTGATACATTAGTATTTTGTTTTAATTACAATCGTCATATTCCACAAAGTTACAACTACTACGAGACAGTCTGCAATATGTTGTACCACAACAAACGATTGCGAAGAAGAACGATACAAGTGTAGCACGTGTAGGTGTCAGCACAATACGAATAAATTTTGCGTTAACATTATCATTAAAAACATTTTTTGCGAATGAATAAGAACTTAGTCACTTATCGCATCATAACTTCCATTTACTGAGATCTGACTAGTTGTTTTCTTGCAAGTTTCTTTCATCCACCGCAAATATTAATACTGCATAAATAGTGCAAGAAATTCATTGCAATATTGTATCAAAAACAGGTTTGTCATTCATGAAAAGTCGCGGTAAACTTCCCGCCAAACGTCAGAATTTATAACGGAGTTGACACTCACCTAAGAGAGAAGCGGCGAACAGCAGTAGCGCGGCCGGTTCCATGTCCGCAACCAACATCAACACCACCGGAGACGTCCGTCCTTGATCGTGACAGGTGCAGCCAGACAGCCCCGTTTCTCAAGGTCACTCTAGTCCACTCATCCCTTTCGCCCGCGCCCGCCCACTCTCTCTCGCGCCCGCGCGAGCCAACTGTCAAACGACGACGACGACAGTTCCTGTCGCGAGATCGCGCCCGCCCCGCCGAACTCTCGCGCCTGCAGTCGGCTGCCAACGCGTGCGCTGCGGCCGTCGCGCTGAGCCACACTGGCGAGACGGCGGCGCGGCACGGCGGCGGCGGTGCCCGCGGCGCGGCGGGCGGTGGTGGTGGTGGCGACCGCCGCGCCAGCGCCCCGCCGCGGTCGAACGGCGAACCTGCGCCGCCGCCGCGGAGGGGAAGCGGGAGTTAGGGGTGGGGGAGTGCCCGGCACGCCTCCGGGGACTCGGCCAATGGTGCTCAACTGTTAGGGGGACGAGAGATCGAATGCGCTATGCTACAGAATTTTTTATTCAGGAAGTTGGAAGCGGTATTTTTGCTGAAAGGTTGTTCCTTTTTTTTTTTACTTCCGCTTTTTTTTCGTGTGCGCGATTTAACCCTTTCGTGCTACTGGCGACTTCAGACTATTTGCTAGTCCTGTCTGCGATGGCCATCTGCACAGAGCGTTATTCCCTTGGTACCCACCACGCACATTTATGAAAGCACTGCGTTATGTTTCTTTGTACTTGTTGCGTAGTACCCTTCTTATCAATCAATCACATCCACTAATTTCCCCACAATTAACTGACTACTGAAGATTTGGTTCTTTTCACTACATGGTTTTGGATTCATGAAGTAGACAAAATTCGATAGGCGATAGTCAAACGAAATTTGACATTTTGAAGATGGGAAGACGGAGTCTTGTTCTCTCTTGTTCCGAATAGAGTGGTGCTCAATAGCGTTTGGGTATACTACATAAACGGCATCGACATCGCGATTAAAGTGAATTGAAATCCACAAACAGTTTCAGTGAACACGAATCCATTAAGCGAAACATTTTTGTGACGGAATGGTGTATAATATATAACAACTTTTTTTTTTAATACCGTCATTATAAAAACCGTTTCCGTTGCAAGAAATCGTTCATAAAAGCGCATTTTATGGCACGGCCAGTCCCCCCTCCCCCGCCCGTCCACCATGCCCCTCGTCCTACGCGTTCCCATTGCTCGCCCGTTCTAGCCTCCCGTCCTCAGTGCCCGGTCTTCACGTTCGTCATCACGCCTGTCCTCACCACATGTCCCTCAATGGCCGCCCTAACCGGCTGTCCCAACCGGCCGGCCTCACCGCTCAATAGGGGAGTTCCGATTCTACCAATTCGATTCTGGAATCGATTCTTTTCTTTCGATTCCTGAGCTTCCGATTCTTGATGGAATTTATTTCTTAAGGCCTGAATCGAATCAAATGAATAACTTCATTTTTTTAATTTGCATTATCCTACGCTTGCGTTCTATTTTCAGCTTTATGTCGTTTGTTATTGTAGTGATTTCTTTGTTTTAATTTTATAGTAGTCCGTGATGTGTTTGAATTCTACCTTCCACCATGCCTCCACCTTCCGCTTCGTTCAAACCAAACCTCTTGGTTCAAATTACATTTCTAGCATATCAATTGAAAATAAAACTCTTTTTCTGTCTGGATCGCGTTGTGCGGAGTTGTGTTTCTTTGAATCCGTTTCAATTTTGTTGTTTAGTTCATCCTATTTTTGACGCCATAAAATATTATATTTTTCATTTATGTTCTATTAATATGTTTCATTTATACAGTCTATTACATTATTTCAATTATATTTCATCTATAATATTTATTATGCCACGTAGTAAATTATTATTGTTATTAAAATGTAATTTATTGATTTATTAACACCTGGTTGTGTTTTATTAATAGTAGCTTTTGAAATTCTGTTCCAAAATTAATTTTCTCTCTCTTATAAACTTATAATGCTGTTATAAACAATGGCGTTTATAATGTTGCTTTCATTGCATACGTACAAATTTGAAAACTCGCCACTAACGTCGCTCGTTTTCAATATATGTTTTTATGAAATAAAGCATAACATTGTGAACTAGTTGCATAAGCACTATCGATGGCCTTGTCGATGAAACAATAATTCTAATGAATATAAAAGAAATGTGTCAAAAATTGTACATTTCCATTTAAAATGCTGTAGCACAATTAAATTACAGTAACAGATTTTAGTTCTCGGGAATTCCATATATCGGGTAACAGTATAAAATAAAAATAGATGTGCAGGGAAGTGCAGTTTACATTTAGAAGGTTCATTGTAAAACATTGTGGCTGGAGTTCAGCATTGCAAATATGGAAACTTTCAAAAAGAGTATTTTATAGTAATGGTATCATCTTATTTCAATGTGATGCTCAGTTGCTGCATCAGGGACACGGTAATTTAAAAAAATAATGTTTTTCCAATTAGAGATTGAATATACACATCCCTTTATGAAATACTGCAGTGAAACACTGACAAAACTACTGTGTGGGAATGAATTTAGCAATCACTGGTGTGTCATTTTACCAGCGAGAGAACTCAATAAAGATTTCTTCATGTTGAAAACTTCCTCTAAAATTCGAGTTATGCTATTACCTTATCAATAAGCGATACCTCCCCTTTCAAATTCTACCTTCATCTGTGATACGCTTAATACCGTTTATTGCGAATGTTTTTGCAACAGCTTGCGGCAAGGTGTCAAGACAAATCAGTCGACAGTTGAAACTTCGTGATACTGTTACACAGAGCTTACACTGAATACCTAGTTCCGTAGTACGTGTTCGTTTGTTCTTTCCAGCTAGTCATTTTTCATGTCATGTGCAGACATTGTACGCAATATTTCTGAAGCAATCAGCGGCACACAATCGCGAAAAACGGGCGACACGTCAAGTAAGAAATACGAGACAAGAATCATCTTAACGAGCATACAGGAAAACTTGTAAACAATTATGTGGTAATTAAGTGTATTTTGCATCTATCAAAAAAACCTTTTTAATTGCCACCCTTAGGAATATAATTCATGTAAAATGTTTTCTGTAATTATACCGATACTTTAGTGATTTATACTAACAAATATTCAATAATTTGTGTGTATTTCCTAATTATTCAAACATCCCAACAATTGTGCATTAAAAGACATTGTGAACATTCGAGAACTGAAGGATAAGTCTTATGTAAATTCTTCATCAATATAATCGATTAGCAGTGCATTCGCATAAACGTCAAGCGGATTATCTTATAAAACAATAGGCACGCGACTGCGATTCGCGGTGTCGAGTTGGTATAATTAACTAATAAAGATCAATAAATATATGAAAAAAAGATTTCGTATGAACTTTTTCACGAAAGAGTAAGATAAAGAAAGGGACTGAAGAGTAAATAAATCATGTGTAATAAATATTTTTTTTGTTGCTTTCTAGCAACTTGGTAATAAAGCGATCAATGTGCTTGTTATAACTGTAGGGGGAACTATAGGAACCACAAGCATGGACACCTCGAACACAGGCAATAATCTATGCTGGAGGCTGGATTCGAACCTGCGGTTTATAAATTCGAGACCCTTCAACCTTCGCGACCTCGGCAATCCAGGTTGATCTTCGCTTCCAGATATATTGGTGATGTAGCTGTGCCGTGTTTTATTTTGTCACAACTCCACTAGATATGACGCAAATCTATCTTCTTCTGCAAGTATCCTTTCTTAAGGAGCTTTCTTGTAGCTGCCCGCCCTCTGCTCTGCGAGTACATTGGTATGTTCAGGTACGGAAATGGGTGTGTCTGCATGTTTATGAATGTGAGTATGGTTTAAATGGGTATGGATATAAAAGTGGGTGCGAGTATGAGAATGTGTGTAGATGCAAGAATGTTGTGAGTGTTGTATTTGTAGAATGTGTGTAGGTATTGTAGAGGCTGAGGTGTTCCTGGTAAGGAAAAAAGCGACAAACACTACATTTTTCGTATCCAATATACATACATTTTCGTATGTTATTTATGAAATTAATTGTTCGGACTTCCAGTTTAATACTTTATTTTTCGTAAATTTAGAGTTAAAGGAATTTTAAAGTAAAACAACTAATTTTAAATTAATATTATCGTAATAAATTATTATTATCTCAAAATTAATTAAAAATACCTCGCCGATGTGAATTGCCGAGGTGACTAAGAGTGTGTTATGAAGGGTTGTAGGTTAGGTTGCACCCTGAGCATTATATATATATATATATATATATATATATATATATATATATATATATATATATATACCCGATATCGACTTATAGTTTTCGCTCAACAGTGTGAAATCATGGGGAAAGTGATATGGTGTAGAAATATTGTTTGAAATATTTTTAGTTTTCGACAAATTTAATCATCTTTGATTTTTTTTAAATATAACCATATATTTTTTTCACCAGTAATAGATCATAAAAAGAAAGATAAAATGATGTAACATATGTTTATATTTTCATAGTATTTTGTGCGTAAAATTGTAATTTCTGATCTGAGATTTTAAATTAATAGTGCAATTCCTTCTGTAGCTGCCGTCCTGACACTTTTGGCGAACGTGACCTTCGCGGCCTCTCCCCGTAAAGGTGCTGGCGCCGTGAAGACAACCTTCCTCAAAGGAAACAGATTAAAGTGTTGCTACAGGAAACCTTGTAGTTTTCATGTAAAATCACATGACGGAAAGTATAATTTTATACTCAAAATACTATCGAAACATTAATATGTGTTATATCAATGCATTTGTCTATTTATTATCTATCAATTGCTAGTGAGATAAATACATGGTTTCATTGAAAAAAATTAAAGATCGGATTAAATTTCTCGGAAACTAAAAATATTTCGAACAATCTCCCTACGGCACAATATTTGCCCCATGGTTCCACATCGTTGAGCAAAAATTATATTGATATCGTGAACCATTTAAACGTTATGTAGGTGGCTCATAGTTGGTGAGATTCCCTGCCTACACATAAAAACTGTTGAACAGATAAATAAAAAGAATAATGCAGTTTTGTGCATCCCCAACAAAAAAATCGTTTGTTTTAGTTTAAACTCCGAATATACTTTTGCCTCACAACAATTAAACTTATCCTGATGAATGGGAAGCTGAACAAATTGGAAATGAATTCGAGTTGCTAGAATTCTCTTTTTATACGTGATTCCCTTCCTGAGATACATTTTCTTGTCGTCCTGTTGATGGTGATTTTTTTTTTATTTTATGAGCACATTTTCTTGGTTAGTTAAGGCTCTCTACGACATAAAAACCATTTTATGTGTGTGAGAGTGGCTAAATATTTGTTAGGAACATATATGCTTATTAGATAGTGCTTTTGTA